TGAGTTCACCTTCTCGGCGCACGTTTTCTTCTGTAAAGGTCAGATTCTGCCGCGTCTTTACGGTTTCAACCCGTCTTTATATAAAAAGGCTCTCTGGCAAAAAGGCAGTGATCAGCTGAGGAGCTGTTTGAATGTCCTGCTCTTATAAACGGTGTATAGGCACCTGTTATGTCATAGCTACACTATTTGGATAGCAGCACTAATATGTATACTTGTTTATGTACACAGGGCAGTTAATCTGAGGCCCCAGTCAGATTCGGGCTTCACACCCGCCCTTTTTTTTTCTATAAACTCAGTACATTTCCACTCACTCTGCTTCCACTTTCTGTGGAACTCCTCTGCTATAAAATTTAGAGCCTTCATTAGAACTGGAGAAAATATTCTGCACAGTCCTGATCTGTCCAAGCATTTTGATTCTACACTTCCAAAAAAAAAAAAAACAGCTTTAAAATTTCCTCTTGATGTCTCCTCCCCCCCCAACAGCCAGGTCAATGTGCAGACGCTCAACGCATTTGGCACATTTGGTGAGTTTCTGTATGTGTGTGTTTTCTGACCCACCCCTTTGGTCCGTCTGGCCAAACCCCCCCTCCAGCCTCTCATTTAGAGCTACAGGGAGAAAGTGGACGATAGTCTGAGATTCCAGGCATACCTGCAACCCCCCCCTCCTCCTCCTCAAAACCCCAGTGGTGTCCTCAGTGGGCTCATCAGGGGGAAACAGAGGAGAAGCCAAAACCGCAAAAAACGCTTCGGCTGCTGCCCTGGGTTCAGCCTGATTCAATTTGCCTCTGTATCTCAAAATCAAAGCTAAACAGTGGCTTCAACGATCAGCACCTGCAGCAGAGGCAGATTAAACAAAAGGTTTCCAAGAGGAATCAGCTGCTCCAAAATATGCATCCTTAGTTAAAAAACTAAACAAAACTCGACTGGCTTGAATGCATTTTCAGCAACCTCCAACCAAATTCAATTACTTCTATCAGCTAATCCAATCCGATTCTCCGAAAGGGAGCAAAATCAAAGTGCTGCAGCGAGCACAGACGGGAGCAGAACACCTCCGAGTGTTTGTGAATATGTGACTTGCAGATACACAATGGTCGTGAGCATCTGTTTACTGGTTTACATTTTTGGTGAGAGGGAGAAAACAAGATCCCACATGAATGCAGACAAATGCACAGTGAAGAAGTTGTCTTTCCATTTCTGGAGGGTTTTTTTTTTTTTCCCCCAGGAAACGTCTTAAATCTCTCTCCCCCGCTGAGCCTGTTCCTCCGGTGCAGCGAGGGACAGATGGGTCACTATGCTGCACGCCTCCAGTCTGCAGAAGCTTCGCAAAGTTCCAGACGAATAAGGCACCTTCACTTTTTGGCAACCCACGCATGAGACATCGACCCTGGGCAAACCCATTAACACACTAGCAGGAGAGCCAACAGGAAAACCGTCCAGAAAAACCTGCAGCCCCGAGCCAGAACCACAACTGATGAGACCAGCATCTCTAAACTTAGGTGACATGCGTCTGGATCTGCATAAGTCAACACACGCATAAGTACACACGCAAATAAACGCACAAAAAAAAAAAAACGGAGACACTTTTTTACAGAATCGCACAGACGTACACTCTCAAACAGACCCCCCCGGCGCAGACACTGGAATGCACAAACTGTTTCTGAGGAGCTGCTTTGGACCATTCACAGAGATGTTTTATGTCCGGAGCATTAATGAGACTAATGGTGTTCTGCCACTGTGTGTGCAGACAGCATTTCAGGGTTTGATGAATGGGTAAACAAGCGACTGTTTAAATATTGGCTCAACATTTACATCAAATCGGGCAGTAATGGTTATACATATTTAGCATCGGCTGACCAATCGCAAGTGGGCAGCGGTGCCGTACGCGCGAAGGACGCATCGTGTGAGGATGTGAGTCACTGCTGCAATATTTTCCACATGAATACGTGATGAAGTGATTTTGTCACTCGGATGAGCTGCAGAGGCCGTTGCATTCCTGGGAAATGTCACTGACAAGATTTAAAGTGCATATGACTCGTGCATGACTGGTGCCTGATGCACAAATCCTGAATCAACACAATTATTGCTGGATTCAATATTAAAGAAGATCGCTGAGCTCATTTGAGGAAGTTTGTGCTCCCTTCAAGGAGGTCAGAGTCAGCTGCAAAAGGAGTGTCTCTGGGAACTGGTGGTCATGAGGTCAGCAGGGAAAGGTAACGAAGCACACTGAGGTACGATATGATGCTTTGTGTAGGTGCAGCAGCTTCACAATGATCGCCACCAGCTTCCTTGTATATTAAGCACTCTGAAGCCATCAGTGGATCTGGAAGGTGTTTTGTCTTTTACACAAATCACACAATCTGTCAGAGAGAGAAACTGTAAAAACAGAAAGATTTTTGTATTTTCTGACAGACCTTGACCCATCCTTTTTTGATGTGCTGTGTCGCCGAGGAAACTCAATCAAATCTAAGCTTAAAATTCTATCGTCTTATCTTATATCAAATCCCTTTATTCTGTGTGTCTCAAAATATATCATTCATAGTAATCTGTGAAAGATTCTGTGAATTTCTTTCTTTTTTTTTGGCAGAACGAGACATGAATTACTGCCTCAGCTCCAACCTGGACCGGGCTGAACTGCAGGCTGTGCTCACACAGAGCAGCTCGGAGACTGTAAATGGAGAAGGGAAGGATAAAAACTAACTAAAAAGTAAATTGTAAAATATCTATCGGAAACGGAGAAGATGTTGATTCTGAGATTTTGCAATTTTTTTTTGAACAAATAATCAAAGAAACTCAAATTTATATTTTTCTTTTTTCATGGTTTACGGCGTTATAGCTCCGTTCTGTTTGTCTCTAGCCGGTTGTGCTGCTTATTGTAGTAAAAAAAAAACAAAGGTGGGCTCTTTTTTATTGACTGACTAAAAATGCACAGAACCTGGTTGGGATTTAAAGGGCTAGCAAACAGTAGCATGTGATATTGTGGTAAAACTAAGCACAATGACAGGTAGTTAAGACTTTTTCTTTATCCACGACAACAACACTGAAATGCTGCACCCATATGAATATGCGTCTTTATAACCCAGTGACATTCAAATGACAGATCAGTTTTCATTTGCACAGGCAACGAAACGCACCAACCCAAAGCATGCATTGTACGCTCTGATTATTTCTACTCCTTCCACCACTGGGCAGTGGCTCAGGAAGGCTTCAGAACAGTTGTTAGTTGTTCTCACAGAAACCTGAGCCAGAATAATCCAGCCAAAACTTTCTCTAAGCTCTCCTACCAAAACTGTAACTATAGTTTGGGGCAACATACACGAAATCCTTTATTTACATAATTTAATTGTTTATTTAATGTAAACACCACATCTTTGTCCTTCGCGGAAACAGTCGGAGGAGAAGGATTATGCGCGTTTCATCGCTAAAAGGGAGTCATTTAGATGTTCTTTATACACCTCTAGCATTTGCATTGGCATTCCCACTGACACAAGCCAGCGCTGGCACAGGCCGGCGCTACCGTCTCAAAAGGCTGCGGTTTTTTAAATGAAAGCAGTTTTTCCTCTTTAAAGCCAACGCTCATGTCCTCGAGATATTCCAGGAAATAATAAAAGGAGATTCCTGATCCCTCGGCCTTGTTCTCACACTGGATGAAAAGCAAAACGCTGAACGGGCTCCGGCTGCTGTTACGTCGGTGTGAATCAATTAAGTTTTTGTGTGTCGCCTTCATCAGACACACTGTTTGTTTCTTTAATAAAAAAACACAACATCAGCTGCTGTGAAGCCGACTGCTCAGACATTCTGTCCAGGTTCGTTATATTTATGTAGAAATGCTAAATGCATCATGTCGTGGTTTTAGAAGTGGGATCTGAAGATCAAGGGGCCCCACAAGGACCCAAACCACTCAGAAATAAGCTGTTTCATTTCCCAAATGCTAGTGACAGTCAGTGAAGTGACCAGTAACAGGAAAATGACAATGCAGAAGTGTAGAAAGGGTTCTTTGAGCATTTGATTTGGGCAAACTGTAGCTGTTGGAGGAGCTCATGAAGTGATTGAAAGTTTCGAGGAGAACTATTTTTGCAACAATTTATGTTTACAGGCTTCAATTAATGATTATTTTCATTGTCATTTATTCTACTGATAAGTTTCTCGAAGAACTAATTAGATCAGGGGTGGCCAACCCGCGGCTCCGGAGCCGCATGCGGCCCTTTCATCCCTCTGCTGCGGCTCTTTGTGGCTTTGGAAAACAAATAATGAGCATTTCATTTAAATTTGTTTTATTTTAGCTTGTTAGTTTTAAAATGTAATTCTAAATTTGAAGATTTTTGTACACTTGTAACATTAAAATAAAACATGTTTAATTTTTTTGTCGCTCAAAATATGCGTCACACCCACCAATGTGCAACACTGCAGTGTTGCCACCTGGGTGACTTTCTGGCGAAATCTGAAGACTTTCCAAATCCTCTTGGACACCTTTTTTTTTTTTTGTCAAATCTAGAGACTCTTTCCGGTGTTTTGGAGACTCTGGCATGAAAACACGTATCACTCTACAGTTCCTGTCCTCAGCGAGCAGCCGCCGTGAGCTCCTCCCGTCCCAAAGCGCTCACAGGCGGTCAACAGTCTGGTCAGCAGTCCAGCTGCAGTCAGCAGAATAACCAGACGCTGGTTTACTTTGCTGCAGGTGGATGATTTAAGTTTGGCTTTTTATTTCATAAATACGAGGACGACTCAAACAGACGCTGAGTATTTTATTTGAAAGTAACCTTCAACCCAGCGTTTTTTTCGGAATTCAAAATGTTTTTGTTGCAGAAATAAAATTAGTTTTTCTCTGTAGCAGTTCATTGATTTCATAAATGTTTTTATACACAGCATAAAGGTAAAATAGGATATATGCAGTGTTGTCTTCATTTTAGATGTCAGAAGGCTTTTGTCCTCGTGGTGTTTTGCTTTGTTTTGGTCCAAATGGCTCTTTGAGTGTTGAAGTTTGCCGACCTTTGGTTTAGACCATTAAATATAAAAAACGAGTGAAAAAAGAACGTTTAATTTCCAAGAGCCCAAAGTGATGTTGTCACAGTGCTGGTTTTAGCCAAATAAAAGTCCAACAACCACACTAACATGTACAATTACTTTATAAAACCACGAAAAGCAGAAAACCTTCACACTGGAGGAGCTGGAACCGTCACACTGTTGGCGTTTCTACACTGATTGACTCATGATTCAGTGAAACATTCGCTAATTGTGTGTTATTTTTCTGTGAGATTTCTGCTTATGTTCCCCGCTGGTCACATGCACTTTTTGTGGCTGTCAAAAAGCACACGTTGGAAATGTGATCGAGACGGGATCAGCTGATGGCCTTTTAGCACCTCTAGGCGAGCGCTGGCGTCCAGGTTCCTGTGTGGCTCACCTGTTCATGTTTAGTGAGGCGTGTTTTATTGTGGATGTCAGAGGACACCAGGTTGAACTGGTGCTTCTCGGCCAGTAGCCTCAGTAAGATGACCACCGTCCGGCTGCCGCACTTCCCCACACGGTTGTAAACCACCTGGCTGGGGAACGGGAGCACCTGCGAACACAAACACACACATGTATGAAGAGAAAGCAACGAAAAAGAGACGGATGAATCCTTTAAACTGCTGATAGGTTTCTGTATTTTATAGTATGATAAAATCTACCTTTACGGTTTAGAATAACAGAACAAAATCAGTTAGATGAGAGTATTCAAGGGAAGAAACTGTGTTAAAAATGGACACAAACTGAGGAAATCTTTCAGATTCTGGCTGGATTCCTGCTCCTCTGACCCGTGACCCGGTGGGCTGCACCCAGCTCACCACGCAACACACATTTTCGGCTACAAAAAAAAAAGAAACGCGCACGCTTTCATCTGTTTTTCCTCGTGTGCTCCTTCCTCCAGTGAACTCCAGTGAGTCAGAGATTCTCTGCAAAGCGCTACTGACGCAACTTTTGTGGGTCTTATCACACGCTAATCGCACACAACGCACACAAGCCGCGGCATGCGCTCACACACACCTCCTGAGTCACCAATTAAACGAGGAGCCGAGCCATGATTCACGGAGCTCCAATGAAGTGAATGATGTGAGTATTTCTCTCGACAAAAGAGAAAAAAAGAAAAAAAACAGAGTCGGTATTTTTACTCGCAAGAAGGAGGAAGTTGAGGCTGACATGCGTATCCAACATGAGACCCGTTTTAGCACAAGGGGCGGCAAGAATGCACTAATTTGGCAATTATCCCCGAGGGCCCGCGAGGTTTACACAAGTGGCCCCTTAAGAATGAAGACAATCCGAGCAAATTCACAAGTGAGAAGAAGAGTGACAGACGTGAGAGGGGGGGAGTTAAAGGAAAGAATGAAATCTGGAGAAGCGATAGAGATCTACTCCGAGAAAACAAAGACGGATCAGTTCTGAAAGTCTTCTCCCCTCACGGCTTCAAATGAAGTCTCCCCGTAAATCAGATAAAGAAAAATGCCACAGCCATGATTTCTGGTTGGAATCCCCAGCCTGGGATGGTGTTTGTGTTTTTTTCCAGACGGGTTCCTGGATGGCTGAGAGCTCGGAAACAAGTCGACTCCATTAATTAACCACTTCATTACCTCAAACAACTAGCAAAGTAATTGGCCGGTTATGTACTGCAGTTTTACTGGCTGGATCAATACGAGCGCTCACCTGCCTGCTTCTCGCTACGTTCTGGCATCAAATTATCGTTCACCTTTAGTTAAATATCAGTGCTCTTCAGCTCCGGTGCTGCAGACAGTAATTTCCACACCACAGAGCTTCGGCGTGGCCACACACACACACACACACTGGCTGATTCTGGTCTGTCTCCGCCAAAAGCAGCAGTCCCACCCAAGCACAGACTCAGTAAAAACAGCGAGGGCCCCCTTTGAATGTCTGCCAGTGGAAAGACAGAGGAAAAGTAACAACAGGACGGATATTGAAGCAGTCAGAGGAGGGGAGACAGAAAGACACGAGGATGGGAAACTCAAGAGCGACCCGATCGGCCAGATGACAGGTCATCACTACAAGTCGCACTTCCCACTTCTCTTCCTGGAATCGGAGCATGTTCCCGGACGTTATTAGACAATAAGGCAGTTTGATGCAACATGGGTGCCCACGCATGAAGCAAGGTGGAAGAGCAGGCTACGTACGCCTATACGTGCTTATACAGGTTTTGTTGACTGGCGTGCTTCAGCTTGTGTCACTGACGGGAACATTGTCATCACTCAGAGCTATTTAATACTTTCGATATTGCTCAAATTCTAATAGATCCTTATAGAAAAAAACAGAAAAAAAAAGCTGCAATTCCACTCGGTTTTAGGCAAACATTTCCAGCAGATAGGCGACGGTTCTCTTGGAAAGCACTTCAACATTCCTCCACGTTTGCCAAGTAACAACAGACTTCTCAGCTTATGACAATAATGAGGCGGATGAAATGCACGCAGTGTTTTGCAGGACACAGTTCCCTGCTGCTATCATGAAAAATGACTGCGTTAGACATCCGACAGCCTGCTTGCAGAATAGCGCAGGGATAACATCAGCGATGCCGTCGAAAGTCCAAAATCTCCCACCGGCATTAACAGCGCTGAAAGGGCGACCTTTCACTTTGTCCTATTGTTGTTACCACTCTGAGCAGCTTAGGTTCCTGAGACATGCTGTGAGAAGCGTCCGCAGTGTCTGCCAGTAAGGGATTCTATCAATAGTGGATCCATGGTGTTAAAAAAAACAACAAAAACCCAGCATTGCATAACAGGGCTGTTTTTCACCCTGCGTCTGGTGTGGATGCTTCTGGTGGGACCGTTGTTGTGGTGTTTACAGCTCTGATGCCGGCGAGCCAGTATCAAAGCGACGAGGAGGAGACGAGCATTCCTGCACCGTTCATCTCTCACGATCTTCCTTCCTTGTTGCTTTTACAGAACCCTGGCCGCACATTCGCACCAAAACCTCCGAGGACGTCACGGTGTTGTGAAGCCACTTCAGACGTGACATTAGTTCGGCAAACACGTAAATTACCGTCCCTGTGTCGCGGCCCGACCACCCGTCTCACAGATTTCTGCAAACTGCCACCTTCGACCGAGTCTGACAACGCGTCCCGGTCTGCCACACATCACGACCGCCATGCACACCATCCATCTTCTGTTGCATTTCCTGGAAACCCCCCAACCAGTGCGTCGCTTCAGAAACTGAGCTCTGCTGGTTTTAGTTAGGCCTGATCTGGGTTCATTGTTCTCTAAAGTCAACTGACTCATCCCACGCTTAGCGGAGAACAGTACGCTAAGGTTTCAGTCGGGGCACAGTCGAGTTTCTCAGCATTTCCTGTTATTATTAATCGATCCATTCATCTGCACTCCCACTCGGAGAAGGAGAAAGGGAGTCTCGCTGCCCTAAGTAGCTGTGACAGCATGTTTGCATCAAAGTACATTTGCGGGAATTAAGATGAATTGATTCGAAACGGCTGAGAGAAAATGGGAAAATAACTAGATTTCCTCAGCGCCACCCGAATGTTTTACACCATTCGAGAATGCAGAAACTTAATTTGTGCGTGACAAATGGGAACCGAAATGCTTTGTCTGAATATCCGCTGATAAGTCATGCTTTTATGGATATTAGTTTGTGCATTAACATAATTCTGAGCGCAAATGTCCCCGGGTTTCAGTAAAAAATGGGAAATATTAGCTCACAATGTCATCAAAACTTATCAGACGACGTCCGCTTCGCAGGTCTTTGTTCAACTGGCACCATCATAATGAATCAAATGGAAAACGGGTTTGAAATGTCCATTATCTAGTTTTTGGATTACTTTACAAATGGATAATTGTCTCAGTTTAATTCCTAATTGTTCGTGTTTGGGTGCTTCAGAATATGAGTTTGAACAAAAAGGGTTGGACTGTACCATTAGTGTCCGGAGTCCACATGAAGCACTTTACTGGCTCCACGACATGACGTACAATCATCATTCATTCATTTATTACCATTCATTTATTGCATGAACCCCAGCACCATTCAAGACTCCTCTGAAGACGCTTTACCTTCACTGGTGCTTTTAGTTTTTGCTTTCAATCTGCCAAAAAATGACCTGATATCATATTTTCATTTTTATTTTTTTTAAACATTACAGATTTTTTCAAAAAACTTGTTTTGGTGCCTTTGTTCAAAATATACTTTAATGTAATTGAGAGACACGAATGTTGAAAATTGTCCACTGTATACATCCTACACATGTAAAAATGTACACGAGACATTCTTGTCATGCTTCCACACACATGAAGACTCGTAACTCTATTCTGAGAGCCGTGCGGTTTTTCCATACGCCCTCATTTACGTTGAGCGTTCGACTCGATTTCCAATCTTTTCCCCTACATTTACCAGAACCTCGGCTTTTCTCGCTAGACGCATGCTAGAATACATCAGACCGCCGCTGAAATTGCAGATCAATTGCAACAGCGGCAGGATGTCAACAGCAAAGATAATGAGAGATGTGGCTGATGTACGGCACGCCACCGACACGGCAACGGCATCGTCTGTCTGGGAGACGGGATGACAGCTGATATGGAATCAGTCAAAGTTAGCAGCTAATGTATAATCACTGTCAGCTGAGTCTGTGCATCTGGAGGTTGAAAACGCTACGACTACAGCTGTTGTCTGATTCCTAGTCAGAAAACCAGAGGAGGAATTCCATTTTGCACTTCAGGAACTCGGTGAGGGCTTTTCTTTTGGTTGACATCAGTTCCATGTTTTTGCAAAATGATCAGGATTTTAAAAGCACACAAACATATAATTATGTGTTATTTCCCATCTTCATGTATTGTACATTTATAACAATCTAGCAAATAACTATATCAATAAAATACGTTATAATGCTTTTAAAAATGGTAAGTTATGTAAGTTCTGTAACTGCTGTTCTTGACTGTCCGAGTTCCATAATAACGTTTAGTGTCTTTTCAGGAGCACATCCATCCATCCATCCATCCATCCATCCATCCATCCATTATCTATACACCGCTTAATCCTCACTAGGGTCATAGGGGGCTGGATTCTATCCCAGCTGAGTCAGGGTGAAGGCAGGTTCACCTGGACAGGTCACCAGTCTATCACAGGGCTACACTTAGAGACAGACAACCAAGCACACTCACATTCACACCTACGGACAATTTAGAATCACCAATTAACCTCAACATGTTTCTGAACTGTGGGAGGAAGCTGGAGAACCCGGAGAGAACCCACGCTGCACGGGGAGAACATGCAAACTCCACGCAGAAAGATCCCGGTGCCCCCACCGGGAGGCGAACCGGCGACCTTCTTGCTGCGAGGCAACAGTGCTACCAACTGCTCCACCCTGCAGCCCTGGAGCATATCCGTTGCTATCAAAAATACAGAAAACATTATTTTTCAAAATAAAACACAGCTAGTAGTTTAGCTCTGCCCCACCATGATTCACACATTTCAGGCTCTATAGGAAGCACGACGCTGCAACCAGGCAGAACATGACCCAATAACAGCAGTTTCAGCTTTTAGGATGCAAATCTTTGAAGCAGCTTTCACTCTGGACGGTGGGCGCATTTACATTTTTATTAACTCCCGAGTTCTTAAGAATATCCGGTAATGGCTGTCACACAGACACAAAACCAGGTTTCAATAACTAAACAAAGCTTCATCTTTATCACTCCCGTCTGGTTCTTGAAGAAACGTCCATTGAAACCACACTTTTCTGTGTCACAATGACTTCCAGAGCTTCTGTGTTTCTATAACGATGTAAAGATTCAGAATCAAGCTGCTGCACTCTCAACTTCAATAGGACGCATTTGGGGAACCGTTTGTGATTCATTAGGCTGGATTTTCGACCATTTTCTCCTGCATCTAATATAATATCCAAAGCTGAGCATCAAACCAAAGGTGTGCAGTTTTAGAGACTGAGTGAAGATAATGGCGGCCCCTGAAAAACAACACTGGCATAAAGCAAATTAGGAGCATGTCTCCACAGTGCTGCAGCCAGGCACAGTTTGTTTCATGTAAATACCACTCGACTGTGTATGAAACAAGCTCCCTGGCTGCCTGGTTTGTCTGAGTGGCCAGAACTGGATTTCAACACTAAACACCAAACAAAGCCCAGATGTGATCCACCTTAATTCAAACAGCTGCTCACAAACAAACCGCGCAACCAAACTTGATGAAGTGTCAGGTTAGTGATGTGCTAAATGCGCCGTGCCGAGCAATAAAACAAAAAAAAAAAACCCCACTAATAACCGCTTCAATCAAACGGGAACAAAAACAAGGGAATAAAAGAAACGGGGGGGATTAAATGGACGAGGAATGAGGTGAAAATGAGGTGATTGATTAAAGGAGCAGATAAAGAACGAGGGGCAGACGGAGGAAGAAAGCAGTTGGCAGCCGGAGAAAGTGGGAGCACAGAGGAGAGATAGTCCTGCAGACATGCAGCTGGATGAACACAAGGCGCCTGTGTCAGCGCTGGGTGTGCGTTCAAAGCTGTACTGTAGCGCTGAAGCCAGGTCTAACGGGTTTAGGGCCAGTTTGCACGCAGCGCCTTCACACAGACCGAACCCTTATCCTGACTGGACTTAACTGGCTGGGATTGCCGGGTGACACATCACAGAGAGAGAGAGAGAGAGAGAGAGAGAGAGAGAGAGAGAGGGGAATATTCAAGGACAAAAAAATAAAAAGAGAGATAAAGGAGGAGAAATGACAACAAGATATGGACAGGAGAACTTACTCTTGGCGCAGGGGGTCCGTGGTCATCCAGATATGTGGATTCACCTGCAACAACAAGTACAGGAACGTTTGAGAAACCCAGACCAGAAGAATCACACAACAGAAACAAAAAGACTTTAAATCAACATAAAAATCAGCATC